AATAGTCAGAAACCTTTATATAAAACATTATTTTAGGATTCATTATTTCAGGAATGCCAGACAAAAATTCTTTATCCCTGGCATTAAGAGAATGGAGAAAGAAAAATTAACAACTCAGGACTGGAAAATTTGAAAATAAATCAGAACAGAGGAGTCTAGGGCTTTGAATTCTTCAACTCTTACTTGGTAGTTTGGAAAGTGCATTTATGAAAATCTAGGCACGGTGAAGTAAAGCTTAATAACAACATTATAACTCAACAGTTGTAATAAACATTAAAAAGTGTAGCAAGAAGACAATAATGAAGTAGAAAAAATTCCATTCACTAAACCAACATAGATTCCCAAGAACTAATCTAGTATTACAGAATCAGAGAAAAAAAGATAAAGGCTGTCAATAAGTTGAAGGGAGGGAAACCAAGAGTGAGTCTCAAAAGAACAGGTTTCGTGCCATACCGTGATCTCAGGAGAGAGAAATCAAAGACTTCTTGGTCTTATGTAGTTAAGGCTTATTTAATTTATCTCCTTTTCTTCCTTCTTGCAGATTTTAAACAAATATGATTCCTGGATCTCCTTCCTTAGCAGTGTGAGGTACTGGATGGCTTTTAATATAGAAAGGGCCTGCCAGTCATATTTTGGGTGTGTCCAGTGTATTAGTGGACCTCTGGGAATGTACAGAAACTCCTTGCTGCATGAGTTTGTGGAAGACTGGTACAATCAGGAATTCATGGGCAACCAGTGCAGTTTTGGTGATGACAGGCATCTCACGAACCGGGTGCTGAGTCTGGGCTATGCAACAAAATACACAGCGCGATCCAAGTGCCTTACTGAGACACCTATAGAATATCTCAGGTGGTTGAATCAGCAGACCCGCTGGAGCAAGTCCTACTTCCGGGAGTGGCTGTACAATGCCATGTGGTTTCACAAACATCACTTGTGGATGACCTACGAAGCGGTTATCACTGGATTCTTCCCTTTCTTTCTCATTGCCACAGTTATCCAGCTCTTCTACCGCGGTAAAATCTGGAACATCCTCCTCTTCCTGTTAACTGTCCAGCTAGTGGGCCTCATAAAGTCATCTTTTGCCAGTTGCCTTCGAGGAAATATCGTCATGGTCTTCATGTCTCTGTATTCAGTGTTATACATGTCAAGTTTGCTTCCCGCCAAGATGTTTGCGATTGCAACCATAAACAAAGCTGGGTGGGGCACATCTGGAAGGAAAACCATTGTTGTTAATTTCATAGGACTCATTCCTGTGTCAGTGTGGTTTACAATCCTCCTAGGTGGTGTGATTTTCACCATTTATAAGGAATCTAAAAAGCCATTTTCTGAATCCAAACAGACGGTTCTCATTGTGGGAACCTTGATCTACGCATGCTATTGGGTCATGCTTTTGACTCTCTATGTGGTTCTCATCAATAAGTGTGGCAGGCGGAAGAAAGGACAACAGTATGACATGGTGCTTGATGTATGATCTCATGCTGATGTTTGTGCTCACACATGCAGACACACACTACACCTTAGCTCCTTCAGGGGCTGTACAGTATTGTGGCATCGACTCTGCCACCAAAGGAGACATATCACTGCTGCTGGGACTTGAATACAAACATTTTATGGGTTTATTTTTTATTCTGCCAAAGTCAAATGATCCATCAATAAGAAGAAACTCAGATTTAACCTGGTATCTCTATGAACACGGGATGACGCCTTTGCCTGCGCACTTTTTCCTTCCTGTGCACCACCTGACAGTGTTTGCTCTATATACCTCACTGGTCATGCTTCATGTGGGTGATCATGGAAGAAACGGATTTCGGAAACTCAAGGGAAAGTTCTTTCAACCTATACAACCTAACTTATGGACTCATAGTTAATTTTTTTCTTTTATCTTAGAAAAGATTTTTGTCTTTAACTCTACCAAAGGAAATCTTAAGGCCGCTGATTATGCTGTATTTTGATGTAATTGTACTGTGTTTTGAAATTTTATATGCCAACTTTTAAAAACAATTTCACTTCATATTTTATATTTTACTTCTCTTCAGAAATACACTTGTTCTTCTTTTTTATAATAAAATAGGTTCTAAAAAATTCATACTATAAAAAATAACCTGCCCAAAATGTGAAACTTGGATGTTGACGAAAGAATAAAATATTTCTGTCTTCCTCTACCTTTTACAATCGAACAGTTTATTTCTGTGAAAAAATATTTAAACTCTCAATATTCTAACTTTTCATTTCTTTTAGATAGGGCCAAGATACCTGTCGTTCTTTGGGAGTGAAAATACATACTCATGTGTGCACAAAAAAACGGATGGTTAAAATTGAGGCCAAAGGGGTAGAAAAGTGCAATTTTTCATAATATTAAAAAAAAAAAAGAATGCTCATCCTGGAATGGAAACACTAGGCATCTAGCACTGAACAGAACAAGAGCATCAACGTCATTTGAATCATCTTTAGAGATTATGGCAGTGCTTATTTTACGTCAAGGAAAAAGGGAAGCTGGTAAAAATGTGTCTGTTTAATACAATATAATGCAGCTTATTGAAAGTTTTATTCTTTGGCCCAAACTCACCAGATTCTAATACACACACATTAGGCATGTTTCCATTGTCTAGAGTCTGAATTTGTCAGTTCATAGTGCATGTTAGTGAATCATGTCAGTTTTTTATTTTAATTTTTATTTGTGTGTATATGCATGTATCTATGAGAGTATGCCATGTGTGCACAGGTACCTAAGGAGGCCAGAAGGTGGTTTTGGAGATACAGGCAGTTTTTAGTCACCCAATGTGGATGCTGGGACTGAATTCACACACTCTGGAAGAGCAGCAAGCTCTCATAACTGCTGAACCATCTCTCCAGCCCCCTTACCCGGTGTTTTGTTATAACAACGAGAAAAGCAGTTAATATACCTATACACTCACGTGTCTTAACTAAAATTATTATTTAAAAAAAATTTTTTTACTGAATCATGTCAGTTTTAACTAATTTAAACCCAATTCAGAATTAGCACTTCCCAAGTGCCCCCCTACTTCTCAGTAAGGGTATTTTTTTCTGAATTGTAATTCAGTAATCCTTTCATTATTTCTGTATCCGGCCTTCTCTAAAAGTCTCCACACCGTACCAATGACATGAAGCTTTAGTTAGTATTATTAGGAATCGATGCATATAAAAACTGATGATCCAGTTACTATGAACTTGACTAATTTACTTACTTTGGGACCTCAGTTATTCCATCTGACTTTTCACATGAGTGATCTTGCCTTGGGGCTGGTGCTGCATGGACCTGTATTAAACATACAATCAGAACACAAGAACAGCTGCATCAAAAGCACTATGGTGAAGCAGAGACATAGAGACATGGCTATATACACCTGCCTTTCTGCTTCCATAGCATGCAGACTCTGTTCCATCCATCCTAAGGATAAGCTGCACGATCTACCTTGTGAGTACACAGAGGTTCATTCTCCTTCTGAAAAACTGACTCTCACCACTTGTAGAGCTAGTGGAACAGACACACCATGACAAAAAATGATATTAAAACTTGAGTTTGCCTTTTTAACTATTTATGTTCTAAGTTAAGCTTTGATAACATTCAAATGTCAAATTTTCTCATTCTTATAAAAATTTGAATTAATTGCCTTGTATTTATTTTAGCAATTATTCAGTGTAATTCAATTATAGGATGTATAGTATAATTGATTTTTTGTAAATAAAATATTTTTGATAAGATTATTGCCTTTTTTTCTAAGGGAAGAGGGAGCTTTGTTTTCCTGATTGTAATGGTGTGGATTTAAAAATGGGGTATGAGCCGGGCGTGGTGGCGCACGCCTATAGTCCCAGCACTTGGGAGGCAGAGGCAGGCGGATCTCTGTGAGTTCAAGGCCAGCCTGGTCTACATAGTGAGTTCCAGTCCAGCTGGGGCTACAGGGAGACCCTGTCTCAAAATGAGAAAAAAAAATGGGGAATGAAGAAAAATATCATGGCTGGTCAAAGAAAATATGCCACTTTAATGTACTTACATTAGGTAGAAATCTTCTAGACTGATGTGGTTTGGTAATCTGGAAAACCCAAGGGCCACAGTGATAGAGAGACCATGTCAACTAATGATTACTTTTGTCTCTGAGCTCTGCTTCTCCTTTCCTCCAAACCTGCCCAAATTGGAGAAAAATTTCTTTGTATTAATTTGTCATATCAGGCAAGGAATCACACAAATACAGAAAAGAAGTAAACAAGTTAGTTTATTATCACATTATTTATACACAATAACAAAACCTCAACTAAAATTGAATAATGAGGGCAACAATTCAGTGAATTGTGGTGTAGGCTAAGAACGGGACATTGTCAGCCATTCAACACAGTGTTCTCAGAGAATATACAAGGATGTCGGAGAACGTCACAGTTAAAAATATATAAGCATTGTGTACAGTAACACCTCAATTATGTAAAGACAAATGTTTAATTGTGGTTATATCTAATTATGGGAATATGGCCAATTTATATTCTGTATACATATTTTGTATTCTTCAAATATTATAAATATGTATTGTTTTATAATGAGTAAAAGGATAATAAATATTGTTTTTATAAAAGTAGGTTGAGGCATCTAATAACATTTCCTGGAATGTTTGAGGAATTTTGATGGTGAATTATTCCATTTTTCTACTTATCTCTAAAATTTATCCATTTTCCCCATTTTTCTTTTTATTATTTGGTTTCTAAGAATCCTTCCTTACCCTGGCAATGCTGTCTTGTTACCTAGACCCACTGAACATCATTTCTTAGGAGACAGCATGGGTATTTATGGTTTTAGTCCCAACAATTCACTTATAAAATCATGCGGTGCTATATTAAATGTTGGCAATCATTTGATGTAAAGAGACTATATATTTCAGGTTCTTGTAACCTGAGATATGTCATAAGAATTCTCACCTCTGCTATCTTAGCACAAATAAAACAACAACAACAACAACAACAAATGCAATATGCAAATGAATGTGTGTGGTTGGGGTGCAGCAAATCATCATTCCTGAACATGGAAATTTAAATTTTAAAATGATTTCCATGTGACAAAACAGTCTCCTGTTATGTTTATCAAACACTTAGAAATAATAATTATAAAACTCTTTTTAGCATTAATAAAGCCGTTACTGAGTCAGATTAAATAAAGCAGTTACTGAGTACTGCAACCCATAGATCAGCGACTCCTGTTTCGGGGAAACTGTTGACTTATTTGCACCATAAAATATGCTGACATTTGATGTTTGAGTGCATACTATGTGTTAGGTATTGTCAGGAGCCTATTTTATAGATAAAATATTTTAGTTACTATACCAGTTCTAAAAAATTCCACTATCATGGGGGTTTTAGGGGTAAGAAAGCACTGGCTTAAAGACATTTGGTAACATTACAAAGCCAGTACATTGTATTGGTGGAATTTTATGCCCAAGCTTCCCAACTTCAAGCTTACCCCTTAAAATTTCTGCCACTAACTGTGTGGTTTACTCACTATGTAGCACTATCAGTAGCATCTGGAAATTTATAAAAATGCATTAGCATGTGCCTATTCTACTGAACTGAAGAGATCAGTGCCTCACAGTATTTTCTGAGGAAGAACATTAAACAGATCACAAGGCGATTTCATAGTCATTCAGTTGGAGAGGCATTGCCCAGAGCTACATTGGTCATCTCAGATGGTGTGGTTTAGTTTCCCATTCAAATATTTATACTCTATTTAACTTATTTTTAGTGTCACTTGGAGAGTGTTGATATCTTATTTTAATTAAAATAATTAAATACCAGTTATAGACACAAAATGAAGAGGTGTATATTATGTCTCACCTCAAAGGGCTTGTAGCTAAGAGGACTATGATAAAAGCAAAAAGATTTGGTGTCACATAAAATAGCACAGGTATAACTAATAAAAAGGAAGGATGAAAAACTAGTTATAAAAAGACAGGCTTTGAGATAGTGTGATATCTTGGTATTTAAGGATGAGCAACTGTAAATGGAGAGGAAGTCTCCGTCTTGCCAGTGAAAGAGATAATATGATTGAAGTCATAGAGGCCTGATCTTATTAGTTTACTTTTTAAACAAGAACTAGCAAGCTAATTGGGGTGCATGTTGTATCCATCCAAGAAATAGAACATAACTGGAGAAAGCCAATCTGCAGCTGGATTATAGCTGAACATGAGGCAACTCTGAGAAGCACTAGGGTGTCACGGTCTGACAGGGTGCCTGTAATATTCTATCATGATGTGAAGGTTGGTCAGAGCATGTGTATGATAAGCCGACTGTTCTCCCGGTCACTCGGCTACATTGGCCATATCCTTTCCCACTGTGTCTCCTGCTTCCACATTCTCAGTATACTAACAGTATACTAATAGTTTACTAACAGTTTACTAACAGTATACTAACAGTTTACTAACAGTACACTAAGTTTACTAACAGTATACTAATTTTACTTCTTATTTTTCTCTCTTCCCTTTTGCCCTGTCCTTCTCCCCTTTCCTTCATCCCTCTCTCCCTCCCTTCTACTCTCCTTCTTTTCTGCCTTCATTCTTTTCCTTCCTCCATTTTGCCTTCCTTCTTTCTTTCCTTCTTGCTGAGGGACATTAAACCTAAACTCTCAACCATTCTAGGAAAGATCTCCATCCCTGAACTACGTCCACAGCCTCTTCAGCTTCTTTTATGTAAGAAGCTGAAGAGCTTAGATGGCAGATTCCCACTGAGCCATCTGATTCCACCTTTCTTAAGAACCTCAAATGTATCTCTCCTCCCAGTCTCTTACCTAAATCACTGAAAACACCTCCCAACTATCTCTTAACTGCTGTTTTATTCAATGGAGTTTTAATATTTCTGTCAAAGTTATCCTTTTTTTTTTTTTTTTTTTTTTTTTTTAAAAAGGGTCTCTCTGTAGCCCTAGCTGTCCTGGAACTCACTATGCAGACCAGGCTGGCCTTGAACTCACAGAGATATGCCTGCCTCTGCCTCCGGAGTGCTGGGATTAAAGGCGTGTGCCACCACACCCAGTTTAGTAAGCCTGAACACAAATGCTCTGCCTCACCTCATTGTAAACAGCATAAAAGCACTGAACTTTAAACAAAGCAATGGAATCTGCCAGTGCCCTTCTCTTGCACGCTTTGCCTGCACTGTTTTCCATAGTTCTACTGCATG